GGGGGGGGGCGCTTTTGGTGACCGTGGGTGGACGGGTTACGGAGGGAGTGCCCCCCTGCCCACCGCGCCGGGGTGCAAACAAGCCCCGACGCCTAGGGCCCCGGGCTGGGACCCGGAGAGAGGGTGGGACCGGTCCCCCTCCCTCTCCTGAAGGAGCGTCCTGCTCCTAGAAACTTTACTGAAGGCGAGACTGTGAATTGGGACCCCGTGCCGGGGAGAACTTAGACTGTGGGCTCAAGTCCCATCCCGCAGGGACAAGTGACAATTTCCGGGTTCGCTGACCCCCCCTTCCATCCGGGAGGGGGTGATCGCACCCAAGGGCCCGGGCCCATAGCGGGGACCCGGGGTACGACAAAGGACGAGAAGAGGACGAAGGGGTCCGCAGAACCCCCCTCTTGTACTGGGAGGGGGTGATCGCACCCCTCACTCCTCACAGTGCTCTACAGCGGTAACATCACTAGACAAAAACCAGGGACCTCACCCGTGGTGGAGAATGTGGGTATCGACCCCCTGAGTTGGCACTCGAGTTAAGGGGTGTTTTTTGCCTAGGGAAAGGAAAACGAGTGCCAGAACAATGGATCCACAACAGCTGTTGGACTGGGTGGGGGAAACCCAGCGCCAGCAGCAGCAGTACAGTGCTCTACAGCGGTAACATCACTAGACAAAAACCAGGGACCTCACCCGTGGTGGAGAATGTGGGTATCGACCCCCTGAGTTGGCACTCGAGTTAAGGGGTGTTTTTTGCCTAGGGAAAGGAAAACGAGTGCCAGAACAATGGATCCACAACAGCTGTTGGACTGGGTGGGGGAAACCCAGCGCCAGCAGCAGCAGTAGCAGGCCCAGATGCTCCAGGAACTGCGCGAGATGGCCAGAGGACCACTGGGCCACTTTGTTGGCTCCTTAGCGTCCCAGGATGCGCTGCAGTATGTGAAAGTAAAAGAAGCCATTCTGGATCAGCTAGGGATCACCAGTGACATGTATCGTGCTGGGGAGGACTTAAACTGGGGGCATCTGCCCCACCCCGCAGGGCGGGTAATCATTTCCAGGGTTCGCTGACCCCCCCTTCCATCCGGGAGGGGGTGATCGCACCCAAGGGCCCGGGCCCATAGCGGGGACCCGGGGTACGACAAAGGACGAGAAGAGGACGAAGGGGTCCGCAGAACCCCCCTCTTGTACTGGGAGGGGGTGATCGCACCCCTCACACCTCACCCGTGGTGGAGAATGTGGGTATCGACCCCCTGAGTTGGCACTCGAGTTAAGGGGTGTTTTTTGCCTAGGGAAAGGAAAACGAGTGCCAGAACAATGGATCCACAACAGCTGTTGGACTGGGTGGGGGCCTGGGTTTGCAAGACTGCTACGTAGAGGTGCGGACCCGCCGCGGGAGCAGACGCGCGTGACGGAGGGCTACATCCATCCCTGGACCCTCGGAGAGCCGGACGTGGGCAGGGGGGCGCCGGTGGCGGGTGCTCCGGACTTCCTGGAAGAACAATGGGGAGATGAAACCTTGCGGTACGCTTGGGAGCAAGCAGAGGGCCCCGCAGAGATCGACAGGCACCGTCAGGGACCCCTCTTCCAGGTAATAGGGGATCGGCTGTACCGTCTGGTAGGGGCTGGGGAAGGGGAAGAAAAGCGGAGACAGTTAGTGGTGCTGCAGGGCCGGCGGAGGGAGGTCCTGGACCTGGCACACATGAACCCCTGGTCCGGGCATCTGGGAAGGGAAAAGACATTGGCCCGCGTCCTGCAGCGATTTTATTGGCCGGGGGTCTACAGGGTGGTGCGGGACTTTTGTGCCTCTTGCCCCAACTGCCAGAAGGTCTCCTCGGGCAGGGTACCGGTGGCCCCCTTGGTACTCCTCCCGGTTGTGGGCATCCCCTTTGAGAGGATAGCCTTAGATTTGGTAGGGCCCCTGGAACCGTCTCGGATGGGGTACTGGTTCATCCTAGTTGTCATTGACTATGCCACTAGGTACCCTGAGGCAGTACCGCTTCACAATACCAAGGCACCGACCCTAGCTTCCGAGCTGCTCAAAATCTTTGCGAGGGTGGGATTCCCCCAGGCCATTTTAACGGACCAGGGGACAAACGTGACCTCACGACTGATGAAAGAACTGTGCGCACTGCTACGGATAAAGACCTTGCGAACGTCCGTGTACCACCCCCAGTCGGACGGGTTAGTGGAGCGCTTCAACCGCACTTTAAAGGAAATGCTCAGGTGGGTGGTGCAAGAAGGACCACGGGACTGGGATCAGATGCTACCAGCCCTCTTGTTTGCTATCCGGGAAGTGCCCCAAGCCTCCACGGAGTTCTCCCCGTTTGAACTATTGTACGGGCGCTAGCCTAGGGGGATTTTAGACATTCTAAGGGAGGATTGGGAGGTGCAGACCACCCAGTGTCAAGGCACGGTGCAGTACATCCTGCAACTCTGAGAGAGGTTGCGGCGGGTGGGGGCCTATGCCAAATTAAACCTTTTGAGGGCCCAGATGAGACAGGCTCATTATTACAACCGAACGGCCGTGATTCGCCAGTTCAGCTCTTACCCACCCAGGAGTCTAAGCTCCTCGCGGAATGGCAGGGCCCCTACGAGGTGATCCGCAAGGTCGGAGATGTAGATTATAAGATACGGCTCTCGCGGAAGCGTAGGGATACACAGGTTTTCCATGTTAACCTCTTTAAGAAGTGGGTGGCTAGGGAAGGACTCCTGGCAGCACCCGTGGACCGGGAGGAGGATCTTGGCCCATCCCGGGAAGAGTGTACAGAGGAAGACTCGCTGTCCATAGGACCCGAACTTACCGAAGAACAGCGACAACAAATGGAACATCTCCTACACCGGTTCCATCATGTCCTTACTGCAACCCCGGGAACGGCGAAGGTAGGAGTACATTGTATACGTACTGAGCCAGAGCGGGTAGTGTGGGAAGCCCATAGACCCCTCCCCAGGAAGGTATGGGAAACCGTCCGGCAAGAAGTACAAGCAATGAAGCAATGGGGGGTGATCGAGGAATCACAAAGCGAGTGGAGGAGCCCAATAGTGCTGGTCCCCAAAAGTGACGGGAACGTGCGGTTCTGCATTGACTTCTGGAGGGTCAACAGCATCTCGCAGTTTGACGCATACCTCACGCCAAGGGTGGAGGAATTATTAGAATGTCTGGGGCGGGCTAAATACATATCCACCCTGGACCTGTTGAAAGGATATTGGCAGATCCCGTTGGACCCGCAAGATAGGAAGAAAACCGCGTTCGCGACCCCGTTCGGCCTCTTCCAGTTTCGGCGAATGCCTTTCGGCTTACATGGAGCAGCGGCGACCTTCCAGCGGGTTAATCTAGGCTCCGATTTTAAGACAGCCTGACTTTGAGAGACCATTTCTTTTATGCACAGACGCATCCGAATGCGGACTAGGGGCGGTGCTGGCTCAGGAGTATGACGGGGAAGAACATCCAGTCCTTTACCTGAGCCGGAAACTCCTACCCCGAGAAACGAACTACGTGATGGTCGAGAAAGAGGCGTTGGCCGTGAAATGGGCCATAGAAACCCTAAGGTACTATTTGTGGGGAAATAAATTCAAACTGGTTACGGACCATGCTCCTTTAGTTTGGTTAAACTCCATGAAAAATTCTAATCCCCGCCTTACGCGGTGGTATATGTTGCTGCAACCCTACCAGTTCAAGGTAGAATACCGGGCACGGGCAAAACACCAGAACGCGGACTTTTTCTCGCGGGTGTTTGACCCAGGCGGGGAAGGGGGAAACCCCACTGTAAGGGGGGGAGGGTGTGTGACGGGCTGTCACTGGCCTGGGGGGAGGATGGCCAGAGCCGCCGCCTGCAGGGAGACGGGGGCCAGCCCCAAACTCTCTGGTGCGGGCCCGGCGCAAGCCGGGGGAGCCGGCGGGTCCGCGCACTGCCACCGCGCCTGCGCCAGCAGGGGAGCATTGGCCCCTCCCTGGGGGTATGTCTACACTACAGCACTAATTCAAACTAACTTAATTCGAATTAGTTAATTTGAACTAAGCTAATTCAAACTAGTGCATCTAGAACTAAAAACTAGTTCGAATTAGCGTTGGCCAGGGAATGCCTCGCTCCTGATGCCATTTAGCAGTTCCCTAATCCCAGCCGCCTCTACCTCTTTCCCAAATGACATCACCCTGTTTGCTTCACACTCACATCTTCCTGTCTCCCTCCCTCCCTCCCAATCCCCATCAACCCAGCTCGCACGGGGCAGAGGAGACGCCAATGGGAGAGGAGCCCCGCGGAGGGCGGGGAAAAGCCAATGGGAGATGGGAGAGAGGCCGGGAGCTGCTGCCGGCGCTGAGCTAGGTGCTGCTGCTGACAACAGGGGAGGCGGTGGCGTGCTCGAGGAGGAGCAGTGGGCGTGCGTGGGGCAAGCCTGCTGGGCTGGCTGCGGAGAGAGTCTCGCCGCGAGGAGGACCGAGGAAGGGAGCCAGGGGGGGAGTGGGCAGGGGAGAAAGAGGAAGCGAAAGCAGCTGCAGCCGCAGGGCGAGAGAAGGGAATCCCTGTGCTGCCAGGAGGTGAGTGCTGGGCGCATGTGAGCGGGGGCAGCTCTCGCCTCCTGCCTTGCCGGGCACTTTGTATCTTGGCTTCCCCCGCGGCTGTCCGGGCAGGGGGAGCTCTGAGAGCGACCCTCGTTCATTGCCACGCTGCGCCGGTAGCTCTGCGCGGGCAAGTTTTTAACCAGGGCGCAGCGCAAGCGGAGTCCCTTGAAGTTTCCCTGGGAGGCAGGGTTGGCGACAGCAGGGCTCCGAGCTAAGCCGCGTGGCTGGAGTTTGGGAGACCCAGCTAGCCAAGGGAGCGGGGGTGGGAGACTCCCTCTGCCCTCTCTTGCACAGGACGCTCATTCATTTAACAAAGGCGGCTGCCGTCTGCCCCAGACCCCCTTAGCTTGAGCCAGTGTGAACCGAAGGATTGTGTCTGGGGGGGTGGAGGTGGGTGTGACCCAAACTGGCCCCTCAGCCTTTCCTGGCTCTGTTGGGATCCATTGACTAGCAAGAACTGGGGTTCGCCTCTTGTTTTCTCAGCGCTGCTAGTAGAGAGACCTGGGCAGCGGCGCCCGGATTTGTATATTAACGAGGGGACCCGAAGAGGCAGTTGTGGGGTTCGGCGTTGGGCTTTTTTTTGGTCTAATGAACTGAAACAGTGGGGGTGTCTGGGGCTGGCAGAAGCTTCAGCGCTGAATTGATCGTGTACTCAGTGAGCAGAGACCCCACAGAGCTCGTCCCGATTCGGAGCGCACGTCTGGCTTTTGATGGGGTTAGTGAGCAGCGTGGGGAGGAGGGAGTATGGCTTTTTGGTGAGGATCAGAGATCCTTAGGCTGGCGTAGCACGTCTAGCGAGCGAGTTGTCTGTCTAGGGACACCAGTGGGGTGGCTGGGGAATGGAGATGGATTCTCCCCTCCCGGCTTCGTATGTCTAGGCGGCGGCAGGAGCGGAGTGTGCGTGTGCTGGGAAAATGCAGAGTGCAGCTCCTCTGTGTCTTTTTTCTTCTTCTTCGTGGTGATCGGCGAGAACGCGGGCAGGAGAACTGAACTTTTTGAATCCGATGAAGTGAAAATCCAGGGCGCGTGGGCGTGCCTCAGTGGGTGGCTTTCTTGGAGGCTGCTCTGGGGAGCCAGCCGCAGAGGGTTCTTCTGGAGGAATTGCTTTTAGCTCATTCTGTAACTCTATAAAGGCTGCAATGTGGAATTGCGTAGATTCAGAAAGCTTCATAGACCTACCCGATGTCCCCTAGTTTTCAGAGAGGTCAGTTTCAGCAAAAACCAGTCCTGTGGCACTTTAAAAACTAATACATTATGCCCTAATAAATTTGTTAGTCTTTAAGGTGCCACAGGACTTCATGATGTTTGCTGTGATTCTGGCTACTTTCCTCTTTGCAGAGGCTTGAAAAATCACAGTGCTGTGTGAGGTATCTGGATGCCACAGAACATTTGCTCCCACAGGCAATTACTCAGTCTTTATTCATCCCCAGTCTTGCTCCAGAAAGAGTTTCTCCTGAGGAGAAAGACAGAAGAAAGCCAGTTAAAAAGCCTCTGAATTTGACTTGATATTTGGGAAACATCATCTACTCTAAGCCATGAAAATGACGTTTAAATGTTCTTGTTAGCAATATGTACATTAGTAATATGTGATAATAATTGTGAGGACTGCATTGGTAAACTGCTTAAGCCTTACCCAAACAAAAGCAGTGCTGGTTCTGTGACTAGGCAGGATCTCCTAGAGTGGGGTATGTTTCTAAAAGACTTTCAGCAAATCAGGGAACAGAAGGAAGAAGGTCTGTCCTTTCCATTGGGAAGTAGAGAGTAATCCCAGTATTTAACTGCTGTGTCTAGTGATTGCATTTTTTTTTCATATCTTGCCAGCTTCCTGATGAGTTAGGCTTTCTCTTACAAGGTCTCCAGTGCTCTCAATCCTTCAGGAACCTCAGCAGCAGTTGCGGGTACTTGTCACTTTTCAGGCTCAAGGAAGGTCTAAAATTGCTAAATTGGTACAACTGCACCACTGTAGAGTATCTGGTGAAGAGGCTCTGAGGATGGGAGAATAGTGATAGAAATGTAGCTGTGTTAGTCTGGGGTAGCTGAAGCAAAATGCAGGACAATGTAGCACTTTAAAGACTAACAAGATGGTTTATTAGATGATGAGCTTTCGTGGGCCAGACCCACTTCCTCAGATCAAATAGTGGAAGAGGATGGGAGTGTCTTCTGCTGACATAGTGTTGTAACCCACATATCTTCTGGGTGTGGTTCGCTGTCCCATGTAGTGGCATTAAGACCACTTACAGAGAGAGAATAAGTTTCCTTATTGGCTTTTAGCTCAAGCTGTAGAGGCTCATGCAGTAAGCTCCAGAGGTTCCAGGTTTGGTTCTGCCTGTCACCCTTGTAATAGCACTTGTGTAGACAGTGCTTAGGTCACTATACTTGCATCATTCAGGGGTGTGTGTGTGTGTTTTCACAATTCTGAGTAAAATAGGTTAGACAGACTTACCTAGCAATATAGATCTGCCATCAGAAAGGCTTTGGTGCAGTCCTTCTTGTGTCCAGTCCACTGAACAGTTGAATTGACTCCTGTAGGAGTTATTTATATAGAGGGGACAGCCAGAATACAGGAAGATGCTAATGCTGCTATTCCCTTATTTCTTGAGTTTCTTTAAAGATTAGTTACTTTTCTTTCATACTTTGATCCAGACTTTGGCGTGTTGTGTGTGTGCGCGCGTGCGTGTGTGCAACGTAACAGAAATGTATCAATTAAGGGGTGACGAGCAGGTGGATAACTGTCATACCTGAATTCTGCAAGCAGACTATATTTTTTCCAAATGTGATGCTAAAGCTAGTAAGGTACTCCTTCAATATGTGACATTGAAATAAAAGTTAAACCTGAGGGAAAAACTACTCCTGTAGAATAAGAGTATTAGTGCACTGACCAATGTTATGAATGAGATGGGGTGGATGAGTATTTTTTTATTTTTCAAACTTCTGTTGATGAGAGAAACAAGCTTTTAAGGGTAGATAGAACTGCTTCTCTGGTCATCTTTCCAGATAAGGAAGAAGAGCCAGCCTGTGGGGGAAAACATAAATGGAAAGGTTTGAAATGAATTTTCTAATACCTCAAAGATGTCAAGCCTGGTTTCTCTTTGCCTTCCCCACAATTAATAGACGTTTATATTAATCTTTTGTAGTTTTCTTTTGAATCAGTTTGCTTGCAACAGTTTTAAATTCAGTGCTATCCTTCTCACCAAATAGGTTAGCGTTCCAAACATCTCCCTTTCTGTTACTATTTGGGGTTTATTTTTGTTGTTGGTGACTTTTCTGGCCGCAAGATGTTATGTCAGACATTGTGGCATTTGCATGGAGGAAATCACCAGGCCTATGTTTTATTCTCTAAGGCTAGGTCTACGCTACAGAGTTTTTGCGCAAAAGCTCGCGAAGCGTCCACACTTCAAGCACATTTTTGCACAAGTAAAACAAAAGAACAGAGGGGTTTTTCCAGTGTAGGTATTTCTCATTCTAGGAGGAATAACTCCCTTTTGAGAGAGTTCTTTCGTGTGTGGCCGGGCAAGAGGGGTTTTTTTTTGTGCAAAAAAAGAGGGAAGAGGAAAAAGCACAGGTGCCCTGGTGGCCATTCTGTCCATAACAATCACTGATTACTTGCGAGAGAGCATCCAGGCAGTCTTTTTCGATGCGATTTTGCAGTGGATGCTTTCTTGAGCAAGAAGTTTTTGTGGAAGATTTCTTGCGCAAGAAGCCAGTCTAGACATAGGACAAACTCCATCTTTGTACATAATGTGCTTTATTGTTTCTGACTCTGACTATTCACTCTGAGTGGTGTACCTGTAAACAGTTATTTCCTCCCACTTAAAAACTCACACACCTTAATCTGGGTCAATGCTTGTTATGCACAAACTCTATTTTGTGAACTTTGTAACCAACACTTGTAACTTTTCATAATCCAGTTTTGACCCCAGATGTGCTATGCCTTTTTTTAGCTTGTGTAATGGGAACTTATTTCAAACATTAGCTTTAATACTTTAAAATCTGAATGATCTACTGACTTAGAGCATGTTCTTCTACTTTCACCAAAGCCAATTACAATATTCCTTTTGCCTTCAGTGGAAGCAGGCTTGGGTTCTAAATCCTGTTTATTAACACGTTTTCTGACTTCTCCTTTTGCAATACAGCTGCACCAAGGCTTTTCTTTTGAAAGGGTAACTTTTAAAAATCACCAGCGCAAAGCAATGTACCCTCTAATCTTTTTTTCATCCATATGTGGATTTTTTCCATCCATGTGCGGACTACATTTTTTACATGCTCGGAGGCATGTGTGAATGTGCACCACCAACAGAAACACAGCCTAGCTATTGGTGCTCTGCTAATCAACTGGTCATCATCTGAATTTCCCCTGAGCATCTGCACAAATTCACAACTTACAGGGAACATTAGTGCAAAGTATGAGCATGGACAGGGTATGTGCTTACTGTGCTGCGCGGCTGTGCTGGTTTGTAATGTACTTGCCATGAGCGAGTAGATGACACTAATTGTCGAGCCCTGAGCATGGTTACCGGCCCCAAAGAGCTTATAGTCTAATAGACAAGTGTACATTAAGGTGCAGTGGAGAGGGAAGCAACCGCAAGCCGAGTAAGTGATCTAATGCTTATTTGGGGTGAGAAGAGGAAGTGTTTAGAGACCTCTTGAAGTCAAATGTGTTTTCAGGAAGGTGTGATGGGATGCCTCTGGTGCAGCCTGGAACTGGGTGAGCCTCCTGACTGACCAGCCTGCATTCTCTCACTGTGATACTGTGACAAGGTATACATGTCTGGCAGGTACTGCACTTACAGCCATTCACAGGCAAGAACGCACCCAACCTCGTTACACGAATGCTTCTCCCAGCCACTCATGAAGTAACGATAGAGAGACTCCAGCCAATTCCTTCCCAGCCTTCCACTCAGTACTGTCTTGCTCTGGTCAGAAGCCTGACCAGTGTAAGTTTATTACCTTGTCTGCGCGGAAAGGTCATGCACAAG